TTGGCTGTATCTTATCTCTAGCCTCACTTTTTTTTTTCTCTTCATCTCTTCTAACATTCTGCTGAAATTTTGTGATTTGTATAGTACTGCTTAGACCTTGAAGAAGGGGACATACCCCGAAAGCTTGTCCTCAAAATTGTATGTTAGTGCAAATAAAAAAAGTATCACGGACAGTACTCAATTGTTTCTGTCGCAAGTGTGCTAATACGGCTACAATCACCTCAAACAACGTTTAGTGGTATTTAATCCCCACTGTGGGGTTTATTTTTGCACTATAAACAAAAAAAGAAGCAAAATAATTTAAAAAAAGTTTTTCTTTGTTTCTATTATAAAATTTTTCAAACAGGTAATTTTTCTCCTTCACTGATGTGCATTCATAGGCCGCACTAATGGGCACTGATAGGCAGCACTGATGGGCACTGATAGACAGCACTTGTGGGCACTGATAGGCAGCACTGATGGGCACTGATAGGCCGCACTAATGGGCACTGATAGGCAGCACTGATGGGCACTGATAGACAGCACTGATGGGCACTGATAGGCAGCACAAAAGGAAGTAGGGTACCCATGTCCTTGTTTAACTACAATACAAATAGGAAGTACAGCCCACATGGAAGAAAATATATTTTAAATATATACCGTATTTTCCGGCGTATAAGACAACCCCCTACTTTTCCTGTTAAAATATAGGGTTTGAGCTATACTCACCGTATAAGACTACCCCTCTTCCAACGCACACCAAATAAAAATGAAAAAACATCAGATTTGATTTCAATATGGTATGGTATTTCAGTATGGTATTCCAATGATGGGGTGCTATTCCTCCCACTGACACCAATGATGAGGCACTACTCCTCCCACTGACACCAATGATGGGGCACTATTTCATCCACTGACACCAATGATGGGGCACTATTCCTCCCACTGATACCAATGATGGGAGACTATTTCTCCCACTGACACCAATGATGGTGCCCCATCATTAGTGTCAGTGTGTGAGGAATAGTGCCCCATCATTAGTCAGTGGGAGGAATAGTGCCCCATCATTAGTCAGTGGGAGGAATAGTGCCCCATCATTGGTGTCAGTGGGAAGAATCGTGCCCCATCATTGGTGTCAGTGGGAGGAATAGTGTCCCATCATTAGTGTCAGTGGGAGGAATAGTGTCCCATCATTGGTGTCAGTGGGAGGAATAGTGGCCCATCATTGGTATCAGTGGGAGGAATAGTGGCCCATCATTGGTATCAGTGGGAGGAATAGCACCCCTTCATTGGTATCAGTGGGAGGAATAGCACCTCATAATTGGTGTCAGTGGGAGGAATAGCGCCCCATCATTGGTGTCAGTGGGAGGAATAGTGCCCCATCATTGGTGTCAGTGGGGAGAATAGTGCCCCATCGTTGGTGTCAGTGGGGAGAATAGCGCCCCATCGTTGGTGTCAGTGGGGAGAATAGTGCCCCATCGTTGGTGTCAGTGGGGAGGAATAGTGCCCCATCGTTGGTATCAGTGGGGAGAATAGTGCCTCATCGTTGGTATCAGTGGGAGGAATGTGCCCCATCGTTGGTGTCAGTGGGAGGAATAGTGCCCCATCGTTGGTGTCAGTGGGAGGAATAGTGCCCCATCGTTGGTATCAGAGGGAGGAATAGTGCCCCATCGTTGGTGTCAGTGGGGAGAACAGTGCCTCATCGTTGGTGTCAGTGGGGAAGAACAGTGCCTCATCGTTGGTGTCAGTGGGGGAGGAACAGTGCCTCATCGTTGGTGTCAGTGGAGAGAGGAACAGTGCCTCATCGTTGGTGTCAGTGGGAGAGGAACAGTGCCTCATCGTTGGTGTCAGTGGGGGAGGAACAGTGCCTCATCGTTGGTGTCAGTGGGAGAGGAACAGTGCCTCATCGTTGGTGTCAGTGGGAGAGGAACAGTGCCTCATCGTTGGTGTCAGTGGGGGAGGAACAGTGCCTCATCGTTGGTGTCAGTGGGAGAGGAACAGTGCCTCATCGTTGGTGTCAGTGGGAGAGGAACAGTGCCTCATCGTTGGTGTCAGTGGGAGAGGAACAGTGCCTCATCGTTGGTGTCAGTGGGGGAGGAACAGTGCCTCATCGTTGGTGTCAGTGGGAGAGGAACAGTGCCTCATCGTTGGTGTCAGTGGGAGAGGAACAGTGCCTCATCGTTGGTGTCAGTGTGGAGGAGGAATAGTGCCCCATCGTTAGTGTCAGTGGGGGAGAGGAGCGGCTGCTCCTTCTTCCAGTGCGGCCACTCGATTTTCGCGGAGCCGCTCGGCTCCGCCTCCTCACCGGTGATTGGTCACCTGTGTGCCTTTCCAGTGCTGGCGCCCAATCACCAGTGAGGAGGCGGAGCCGAGCGGACCGCGTGACCATTCAATATATTTCAAAATATATTTCAATAAATAAATATATATATACTGTATGTTGAAATGCGTTTTTATTACAAAATATATGAAAAATACTTTTAAAAATACATTTTCAAATATACTGTATGTCTTTAAAAATACATTTAATCTACATTTTTGGAATGCAGTTACAAATATATGTAAAAAAATATATGTTAAATGACTTTTTCTATGTTAAAAAAAATCTGAAGAATATATTTTAAAAAATATATTTTTAAAAAAATATTTTTCATATATTCTGTAATATATAAAAAAAAACGCATTTCAACATGCAGTGTTTATATATATATATATATATATATATTCTGAAATATATTGAATACGTCCTAAATTGTAGTATTTCAAATATAAGTCAATATATTTGGGAAGAATATCTTTTAAATATATTTCAAATATATTTTTCTTTTCTTCCATGTGGGAGGAGGAGGGGTACTTTAGAACTATCTGGAGTAACTCCCCAGTGGGCAGTCCTGCTATTGCAGACAGCTTATATAGAGGAGCTTGGAGGTCAATTCTCTTAAAAAGAAGCAGGATACCTACAATCTTATTTACCTACAATAGAAATATGAAACATGAAAGGGGCGGGGTACTTTAGCACTATCTGCCCCTCAACCCCCGCCCCTCCCCCACCCCACCCCACCACCATGACGTTAGAAGTTCTAACATAGCAGACAGCTTATATAGAGGAGCTTGGAGGTCCATTCTCTTAAAAAGAAGTACCGTAGGATACCTACAATCTTATTTACCTACAATAGAAATATGAAACATGAGAGGGTGGGGTACTTTAGCACTATCTGCACCTTCCACCCCCCCCCCCCCCCCCCCCCCCCACCACCGCCACCACCGTTAGAAGTTCTAACATAGCAGACAGCTTATGTAGAGAAGCTTGGAGGTCAATTCTCTTAAAAAGAAGTAGAATAACAACAAATTTTATTTACCTACAATACAAATATGAAACATGAGAGGGGTGGGGTACTTTAGCACTATCTGCCCCTCAACCCCCACCCCACCACCATGACGTTAGAAGTTCTAACATAGCAGACAGCTTATGTAGAGAAGCTTGGAGGTCAATTCTCTTAAAAAGAAGTAGAATAACAACAAATTTTATTTACCTACAATACAAATATGAAACATGAAAGAGGTGGGGTACTTTAGACCTATCTGCCCCTCAACCCCCACCCCACCCACCATGACATTAGAAGTACTAACATAGCAGACAGCTTATGAAGGGAAGCTTAGAGGTCAATTTCCTTAAAAAGAAGGATATCCATGTTCATTTTTGATACATTAACTACAATAGAGATAAGAAAGAAACGGGGGGGGGGGGGGGGGGGGGGGGGTACTTTAGCACTGCAGTAATTCCCCAGTGGGCAGTCCTGACATGGCAAGCAGCTTATGTAGAGAAGCTTAGAGGTCAATTTCCTTAAAAAGATGGATACCCATGTTCATTTTTGATACATTAACTACAATAGAAATAAGAAACACGTGAGGGGGGGTTCTTTAGCACTGGAGTAATTCCCCAGTGGGCAGTCCTGACATAGCAGACAGCTTATGTAGAGAAGCTTAGAGGTCAATTTCCTTAAAATGAAGGATACCCATCAGGGGCGGATTGACCACTGGGGAACTCGGGCACTGCCCCAGGGCCCGGGGTCAGTAGGGGGCCCCATGAGATGTCCCTGGTACCTTTCATATGCTTTTTTTGGGTGTGGTTTGAGTGTGTGCGGGGACACAGGGGCCCCATGATCCCCTATTGCCCAGGGGCCCCATGAGTTGTCAGTCCGCTCCTGATACCCATGTTCTTTTTTGATACATCAGCTACAATGGGGATAGGAAATATGGGGGGGGGAGGGGGGATCATACTGGTTACTCCAGTATGATCTACCTGCAAATTATTTAAGAGCAATTTATGTTCTATACGACTGTGCTGAGCAGTCCTTGTGTCCACTCCGTGCATCTGAACTGTTAATGTGTTTTTCCAATGTACCTTTATGAGATGTATTTGTTATTACATCGCTCAGCTCAGCACTTTCTGCTCTAACCCGAAGTATCTTCCAAAGAGGCAGAAAAAAACAAATATAATTTCCGACTTTCATGATCCAACAGCTTTGGATATCCCCCTATGATTTCTATTCCAGTTGTGCCGTATATCTCTAATCCTTGCTTAGATAGAAAAAAAAAAAATCTTAAAGGAGAACTCTGGTCAGGACAAAAGTCAACATTTTATTTTGTTGTATTATAAGATCCAAATCTTTCATATAAGCTCAGTTTTTGCATTATAGTTTGTCTGAAATACAACAAAATGCAAACAAACAAGTGAAAGAATAGATAGAATTCTGCTGCAGAGAAACTTTACAATGCGAGTTCTTTCGAATGGATCCTCTGTATTGTTAATATAATACGCAGTGTCCACGGCTTTGCTGGTTCCTTCAGACTGGGAATTGTAGTGAAAACTCTATAGGACCAGCAGAAAGCGCACCAGCTTTGCGTCACAAAACCTTAATTGCTCTTGAAACGCATCAGAGATAACCAGGGGCAGACTGTCAACTTATGGGGCCCCCGGGCAATAGGGGATCATGGGGCCCCTGTGTCCTTGCCCAAACTCAAAAAAGCCTATGAAAAAGGTACCAGGGGCATCTCATGGGGCCCCCTACTGACCCCGGGCCCTCGGGCAGTGCCCGAGTTTCCAAATGGTCAGTCCGCCCCTGGCGATAACGCACTTTACAGCGGCTGCATGCTAACAGGATCAGCTATGGAGATTTATTCCTTGTATTGCGGTCAAGCAGGTCTCCTCCTGGGTGTTTTTACATGACGCGTTTGTCAAGAATATTAGTATCGGTTTTTGTTACCATACAATAAGGGCTTGCTTACGGGAGTGAGCTGCGCTGAATGTGTGGCCGCTGGTGTGTGCTGCGAAACACCCCACCAATTTTTTTCACACAACTTTATTGAAGTGTCGGTGAAAAGTGACATTTCAAAAGAGTTCTATTCGACATGGTGGTGGTGCGATGTAGTGGTTTGCTTCGCAACTCGCTGAGATGAAAAAGTTGTGCATGCAGTACTTTTACCCTGTGTGCGTGTTGGTGCGACGCTAGAAATAACAGATAGTGCGGTCCCACCGTATCTTGTGTGAAAAGGCCCTTAAGGTTTTGTGAAGGTGTCACACAATCCTGGTGCACTTTCTGTTTATCCTATACGGCAGGGGTCTCCAAACTTTCTAAACAAAGGGCCAGTTTACTGTCCTTCAGACTTTAGAAGGGCCAGACTGTGGCCAGTGGGGGTAGAAAATGCCCCATCATTGGTTTTGGTGGGAATAATAGTGCCCCTTTGTTGGTATCAGTGGGAATAATAGTGCCATATTATTGGTATCAGTGGGAATAATAGTGCCTCATTGTTGGTATCAGTGGGAATAATAGTGCCTCATTGTTGGTATCAGTGGGAAATAATAGTGCCTCATTGTTGGTAGTCAGTGGGAGGAATAGTGCCCCATCATTGGAGTCTGTGGGAGGAATAGTGCCCCATCATTGGTGTCTATGGGAGGAATAGTGCCCCATCATTGGTGTCTGTGGGAGGAATAGTGCCCCATCATTGGTGTCAGTGTGATGAATAGTGCCCCATCATTGGTGTCTGTGGGAGGAATAGTGCCCCATCATTGGTGTCTGTGGGAGGAATAGTGCCCCACCACTGGTGTAAGTAGGAGGAATGGTGCCCCATCATTGGTGTGAGTTGTGCATGGAATAGTGCCCCAAGGTCTGGATAGAGGCAAGCTAAGGGACACATATGGCCCCAGGGCCACAGTTTGGAGATCACTGTAAAGAAGATCAATTTTGCGACTTTGCTCACTGATGTGCGAACTTGGCTCTGTATTTCAAATTTCAGTGTTTTTGGTTTGATTACATTATTGAATTAAATTTATTATTATTTTTTTTATATTATTATTTATTAAATTATAATTTATGATTTCGTGTTTCAAATTTTAACATACCCAGGATGTTTACTAGACTCTTGTTTAGACAGATTTCAGTGAGTTATTCCTAAATTACAGGCCTACAATAAAAAAATACATATTTCCATGCAAAAAAATGTACCGCTTTGAGCACAGAAATATGGACATAATCAGACCGCTAGGGAGGTTAATAAACACACACTTACCTGTCCCAGGGTCCAGCAATGTTCTCACCTGTGCACTCCCTTCTCTCCTTCTTCTCTCCATGGCGCCGGCATCTCAACTGTGGGCACCAGGCTGTGACAGCTTGCGGCTTCACAGCTGGGTGCCCACTGCTCATGCGCGAGTCGCACTGTGCATTCTGATTGGTCCAGCAGTCTGCTGGGACCTGTGAAGGTTCCCAGGAGACTGCAGGAGTAAGGAGGGGACTAAACTTCCGAAGTGGGAGTGGGTATCTGCCAAAAACAGGTATCCGCTCCCCCCAAGGTGCCAAATATGGCAGTGCGGGGGGGGGGGGGAGGCAAACAAGCAGAGCTTCCACTTTTGAGGGGAACTCCATTTTAAGGTAAACAACCTTAACCTTAACGGTGTTTTTACCGTCCCCTAAACAAGCAATTAACCCTGGCAATGGTTAGAGGCGCTGCCCCACTGCAAGGAAGGCCTTGTACTTCTCCTGGAATTGGGTTTAAATTGTTTTCAGATAATAAAACAATATGATATGATGAACAGGTAGTGATATCAGCACTCTGAAAAAATATACAGGCGTACCTCGGATTACTAATTTAATTCGTTCTGGGGGACTTTTCGTATTGCGAAAAATTCATAAACCGAAAGGTTTCCCATAGGAATGCACTGAAAACCAATTAATTCGTTCCGGAGGTCAGAAAAAAGTAAATAAAAAGTCTTTTATCTGTTCAATACTCTTATAATGTGTACTTTAAAGGCATAAATACTGTACAGGAACATGATTAAAAATGAATCCGGAAATGCAGTGAAAACCAATTAATCCGTTCGTATTGTGAACAAAAAAAAAAATCGTAAATGCATTGAAAACCAATTAATCCGTTCCCGAGGTCAGAAAAAAGTTAAAAAAAAGTCTTACCTGTTCAAAACTCTTTATAAAGTGCACTTTAAAGGCATAGTACGGTACAAGGGCATGATTGAAAAAAAAAATTGTAGATGCACTGAAAACCAATTAATCTGTTCGTATTGCGAAAAAAATCGTAAATGCATTGAAAACCAATTAATCTGTTCCGGAGGTCAGAAAAAAGTAAAAAAAAAGTCTTATCTGTTCAAAACTCTTTAGAAAGTGCACTTTAAAGGCATAAATACTGTACAGGGACATGATTAAAAAAAAATTGTAAATGCATTGAAAACCAATTAATCCGTTCGTATTGCGAAAAAAATTCGTAAATGCATTGAAAACCAATTAATCCGTTCCGGAGGTCAGAAAAAAGTTAAAAAAAAAGTCTTATATGTTCAAAATTCTTTATAAAGCGCACTTTAAAGGCATAGTACTGTACAGGGGCATGATTGAAAAAAAATCGTAAATGCACTGAAAACCAATTAATCCGTTCGTATTGCGAAAAAAATTTGTAAATGCATTGAAAACCAATTAATCTGTTCCAGAGGTCAGAAGAAAGTAAAAAAAAAAGTCTTATCTGTTCAAAACTCTTTATAAAGTGCACTTTAAAGGCATAAATACTGTACAGGGACATGATTAAAAATGAATCCGTAATGCACTGAAAACCAATTAATCCGTTCTTATTACGAAACAAATTCGTAAATGCATTGAAAACCAATTAATCCGTTCCGGAGGTCAGAAAAAAGGCAAAAAAAGTCTTATATGTTCAAAATTATTTATAAAGTGCACTCTAAAGGCATAGTACTGTACAGGGGCATGATTAAAAAAAAAATCGTAAATGCACTGAAAACCAATTAATCTGTTCCGGAGGTCAGAAAAAGGTTAAAAAAAGTCTTATCTGTTCAAAACTCTTTATAAAGTGCACTTTAAAGGCATACATACTGTACAGGGACATGATTGAAAAAAAAAATCGTAAATGCATTGAAAACCAATTCATCTGTTTGTATTGCGAAAAAAGTTTGTAAACCGAGCTATTATTTTCAATGGATTTTCATTCGTAAACCGAAAATTACGTTAACCGAGGCGATCGTAAACCGAGGTACACCTGTATATAATACATCCAGCCATGGGAATAGATAAGACTCATTTCTCTAAAGTGCGTGTAAGAGCCCCCTAGTGGTCAGTGGTGTCTAGTGCTATTGCCACTACTCAATGCTAAAAGGAATTTGCTGTATTTATTATTATTATTATTATAATACAGGATTTTTATATATTATTTATTATACAGGATTTTATATATTATTATTATTATTATACAGGATTTATATATATTATTATTATTATACAGGATTTTATATATTATTATTATTATACAGGATTTATATTATTATTATACAGGATTTATATATTATTATTATACAGGATTTATTATTATTATTATTATTATACAGGATTTATTATATATTATTATTATTATACAGGATTTATATATTATTATTATACAGGATTTATATATTTTATATATTATTATTATACAGGATTTATATATTATTATTATACAGGATTTATATTATTATTATTATTATACAGGATTTATATAGCACCAACAGTTTGCTCAGCACTTTACAATATAACGGGAGACAATACAGCAACAATACAGTTCAATGCAAGAGGGATAGGAGGGCCCTGATCCTTGGAGCTTACAATCTATGGGATATGAACAAATACAGTATATGAGGCAGAAATGATGTGTCGTTTGTGTCACTCGCTCTACATTATGCTGTGCACCGTGGATCAATTCATTAACCCATTCATAACCAGAAATCATTAATAATGATAAATAATAATAAATGCCTAAATGCATAAATAATGCATAAATAATGCCTACATGCCCTGGCCAAGTTTGACTGCTCCAGCATGCGTTGGTTAACGAGACAGTAGCTCTCTAGGGGCATATTTATAAAGCTGGGAATTAATCGTTCCCTGTACCTTAAGTACTTGAGTCCCTAGCCAGTGGTTCTGTGAGAGTGGCTATTCGTCCCAAAGCCATGTTAAAAAGGCACCGGGAATCAGTGGCTCCTGCGGGTCTTGGTGGGTGGTTTAGGCCGTCAGTGTCAGTGACAGCTAGCATCCACAGATTACTCCATAGTTGCTGCATGGGGGTCTAGATCTGATCAGTGAAGACCAGATCTAGACCTCCATGCAGCTTCTATGGAGTAATCTGTGGATGTTAGCTGTCACTGACTGGTACCGGGAATCAGTGGCTTCTGTGGGTCTTGGCGGGTGGTTTAGTCTGGAACCGCCGGCTATCAGTGACAGCTAACATCCACAGATTACTCCATAGTTGCTGCATGGAGGTCTAGATCTGATCAGTGAAAACCAGATCTAGACTTCCATGCAGCTTCTATGGAGTAATCTGTGGATGTTAGCTGTCTCTGACTGGTACCGGGAATCAGTGGCTCCTGTGGGTCTTGGTGGGTGGTTTAGGCTGGAACCGCCGGCTGTCAGTGACAGCTAGCATCCACAGATTACTCCATAGATGCTGCATGGGGGTCTAGATCTGATCAGTGAAGACCAGATCTAGACTTCCATGCAGCTTCTATGGAGTAGTCTGTGGATGTTAGCTGTCAATGACTGCGACCGGGAATCAGTGGCTCCTATGGGTCTTGGCGGGTGGTTT